AGAAAAGTCATTTTTTACAGTGTGTGTGTTTGGTTGTATTGATGTCTCAGCAGCTCCTGTCGAGTTACTAACAGTCCCTCACACTCATTATCTTAACGAGACGTTTGCTCATCAGTGCAGGAGTGAAGTGCATTTCATTAGCTCTGTACTTGTACTCTGCATAATGACAATAAAGTTGAATCTAAAGTTGAAAAAAAAGTGACAGCAGTCAGTACTGAATGCTGTTCCCAACGCACACTTTGCCGTGATGATGAACTACACACACAGTGCCAGGACTTTATCTGGGACGGAATGACTTTACTCGAGAATGCTGTTGAAGAGAGGAGATGTTTCCCACAGGATCATCCATTCGGTTTCTCTCGCCTTCTCCGATCGTCTGACCTGACCTTCCATTTAGTTTTAGACCGTCTTTTAATTTTACAGTCATTCACTGCAGTTAAAGATGCAGATGGTTTGATGTAAAGAATGACACGCGGAGATCAGTTATTGTAGATGATTATACCAATGTTAAAACTGCATGCTGTGACGCACTGGAGAGGACAGCGGACGAACGTTCACTTCCCCCATTTGGTTTGTTTTTCCTGATAAATATTTTTTTAAGTATTATTTATATAAAATACATCCCAATTGAAGCTGAGCTCGTGGTCTTTATTCGCATGTGTGTTTGACGGGGAAAGTGCTTTAACTGCGAGAAACGCCTTCATAGTCTTTTTATTACCGTTTCTTCCACGGAATCAAAAAAATAAATACAATAATTGTACCGTTTAATCTCACAATTCGGACTTTGTTTCTCGTGGAATTGCAAGGAAAAATTTTGAGAATAATTGAGATATGAACTCAGAATTTGTAATTCTGGGATTTTTCTCTGATTTATGAGTTTACATCTTGCGATTCTTTTTTTTTTCTGCCACAAAATAAAAATAGTTTTCTCACAATTGTGACTTTTTTGTCACGATTGCGAGAAAACACCTCGCAATTCTGACTTTTTTTTTTTTTTTTTATTGTTTATATTTCGCAGTTCTGACCCTTTTTTCTCACAATTCTATTTTGGAATTTTGGCTTTTTTCTCAAAACTGCAAGAAAAAGTCAGAATTGTGAGAGAAAAGTCAATTATCTTGTATCAATTTTTTCTGTTACATAGCAACAACAGGCTTCCATACAATTGCTTGGATAGAAAATAACGGGCTTTTGAGCCACACATCAAAATGACACTCCTTCCAGTGTTACATGTACATTATGAATACCTTTGTTGCATTATGCATAAAGGCTTCAAGTAAAATGTTTCCCAAGGTTCTGTCATCATTTCCTCACCATCATGTGGTTTCAAATGCACTTTTTCTTCTGTGCAACACAAAGGAGATGTTGCTGGTGGAGGATGAGGCTTTTTGTGACATTTTGGAGTTTGCTGGTGTCTAGAGAAGAGCAGCGTGAGCATTCTGTTAAACATCTCCATTTGTGCTCTACATAAAGCTCTGCACTTCTTCAGGTGTTCAAACGAACGAGTTTTCCCATGATGCACTGCACGGTCCAGTGTGATCTATACAGAAACCGTCAGTTTATCATCAGTGTTGGGAAAAGTTACTTTTAAAAGTAATGCGTTACAATATTACGTTACTCCATAAAAAAGTAACTAATTGTTACTTAGTTACTTTTTATGGAATGTAATGCATTGTTACTTTGTATCACCTGAGCTGGGCTTGCTTATTTATTTTTAATAACAAAAACCCCAAATGTTATAGTTATAGCACTATAAAGGCCCTTTCACACCAGAAGTGAAATGAATGCTTCACTTTACTAGTTACTTGAAAAAAGTAATCTGATTACGAAGACTGATTATGAGCACGAAAAACAAACCAGTCCGCAGAAGATAAAATATAGCATCACTGTGACTCTGATCGGATGAGCGGTGTTTGAAGCCGTTGTGTAAAGGTTTATTCCTGGTTTTATTAATATATTGAACTATTAAACGTGTCATTTTGCTGCTGACAGTTTGATCAAAGCAGTAAGACACTCAGTGCCGAAAACCATTAATCATGGAGGAATTATTGCTTTGTTTCTGACTAAATTATTTATAAATGTTTTTGTTAAACAAATATGAGGCCCAGTTTTCACGAGATTGTACAAACAATATCTGTGAAGCGGTTTTATTGGTTCAGAAATCTGAGAATGAAACCACATTTTTTTGGTTTGCATTTCAGACTTTTTCTCTTTATTGTGAATTGCAAATTTACATTGAGTTTTTCAAACTTTTTTTCTCCAAAAATGAGAGTTTACATTTCACAATTTTTTACACTCGTGTGAACAGTAAAGTCACTTTTTGCTTCACAATTTGATTTGTCATATTATTTTCATGACTATTACTCACTAATGATTATTACTGCAGTGCATACAGACATCTTTGGGTTTGTTTTGTAATTTGCATTATCAAAGTCATCATTGGGAATAGTGAGTTTTATTGCCATCATGGTGTATAAACACTGTGCAATTGAAATTATATCATTTGCATTCTTTTTTGCCATTGCAGTAATAAAAATTAATGAGCAAACTATCAAATATTTTGTGGTCAATTATCATGAAAGTGGTAGAAATGGTTCTTAAAATCGGTTTTCATTATTTGGTGTTATTTGTGAAATCAAACACTATTTCTGAGAGATTGGGGTCATGGGTTTGTTGATTGGAAGCTCTTCAGTGTTTTGGAGCTGCAGGAAACTCACCGCATTGCTTCCTCTCTTCTGCTGCTGATTCAAACCAGTCATTCAGACAAATCTGGGAATATAGTGAGAGGAAAAGGCCAGGTTGTCCAGAATCAGCATCGTCTCTGGCGTGTGACCTATGACCGCTTACACGCCTGTTTCCATGGCAACAAGCCCAGTTCAGTTAGCATATAGCACAACTGTGCTCGTGGCGACCCGAGTTCGAATCCCTCCTTGAAGTCCTTTGCCGATCCTGCTCCCTTCTCTCCTCCCAGTGCTTTCCTGTCAGCTCTCTACTGGCCTCTCACAATAAAGGCATAAAAAGACCATAAATATAACTTTAAAAAAAACATATCCGTGTTCAAGAACGGCATCGAGCCATTAACAGAACATTTCTAATTCTAGCTCACTAGACTATATAACTAATGTATTTGTAAACTACCCAACATGCTTCTATCAGTTTGTTTTTGGAGGTTAATGTAATAGTTCACCGTGAGCCTTTTTGTTTCCAAACAAGATTTTTCCAAATATTCGTATTTTTGTATACGTCTCATTTAAATCAGTCAACCTGATTGTTTTCAATTGTTTTCCCCAATAAATGTGATTTTTGCATAAACCCAACAAAAGTACCTTTATTGCAATGGAATTATAATTTAAAAATGACAGTTCAGAGTGATCTAGATGTACATGTATATACAATCACCTACACCTACCCCGCGTTCTCCAATGCTGAACATGATCTGGATTGGAATAAATGATTCAAGACACATTTATGATCCTAATAGTTGTATGATATGAAAACTGAGATATTGAGCACTGATCTTCTTCTGATCTTTAATAACAAGTACTCATGATGTTCTGAAATAACTGAGACCCTTGTACAAGGCTGAATTGCTATAGTTTGATGATGAGATGAGGAACAGTGCATTATGGGATATACAGTGGGGCAAAAAAGTATTTAGTCAGCCACCAATTGTGCAAGTTCTCCCACTTAAAAAGATGAGAGAGGCCTGTAATTTTCATCATAGGTATACCTCAACTATGAGAGACAAAATGAGAAAAAAAAATCTAAGGACAGAGGAGCCTCTTAAAGAAGAAGTTACAGGTCTGTGAGAGCCAGAAATCTTGCTTGTTTGTAGGTGACCAAATACTTATTTTACCGAGGAATTTACCAATTAATTCTTTAAAAATCCTACAATGTGATTTTCTGGATTTTTTTTTCTCATTTTGTCTCTCATAGTTGAGGTATACCTATGATGAAAATTACAGGCCTCTCTCATCTTTTTAAGTGGGAGAACTTGCACAATTGGTGGCTGACTAAATACTTTTTTTCCCCACTGTATAAGATCTCTATTAACCGCAGTAAATTCTGATGAAGGTCAGCCTTCACTGTGTGAAGCACATCACAGAAAGTGTTCTAGATCTGTTTATTTACAGATGTTCAGTGCTGATTCTAATCGAGTCTTGGCTGAAATGCGACTCAAAGCACCAAACGACTGCAGTTTGTTTCACAGTGAAAGTTAGTTTGACTGCAGATCCGTCTAGATGAGATGAAGTTATATGAGGGTTTCTATCATTTCATCTTGGATGGATGTGTTCACACTGTTTAAACTCTTACATGTACTCTGGTGAAGTGTGTGATTTCTGTCACCAAACAGATTCGCTAAAATAATGACTGTTTGCCGATGGTCAGTGTACCAGGGCTTATACTTGACTCCATATACCCAACACACCTCATCCTTTACGTGTGTGTGTTTATTGCTAATGTTCCCATTAGACAGCATGCTTGTATTCATTCTGTTTCATGTTCTACTGAAGTAGCATGACTGTCATTTCTCTAAACGTGATGTTTGCTGTTCTTCTTCCACGGGAATGGTGCTGGTGCCGAGCTGCGGGATCTACAGAACTCACTGAAAACTGAATGACGAGCACAAGCTGCCCACAAATAATCACGGCCAAGTCTTTCAAATTCATAGTAATGCATTCTCCATTTTGGATTGCAAATAGAAAGTGTCTAGTGCTGCAGTGCAATGTGACATACATGGAAGCGGGGTGTTTGTTCATTATAATGGCCGTGATCTAGATTTGTGTCAGATCGAGTTCTTGTTCTTTACATGATGAGGACATTAGATGCCCGGCACCAGCACCCTGTCGATGGAAAAAGGAGTTTTGAAAAACATCCAAAAAACAGACTTGACCAATAGGTGGCGATGTACCGTTTCAAACACGATCCAAACTTTTCTGTACAATAACTATAACGTTAACTATATTAGTGTCCACACCAACGGACAATAACATTCTGACTTTAAATGCTCAAGTTAAAGTCAGATTGCGTTATGAACGTGATTCCAACTATATCGTTCATCTGTATCATTATCGTTATAGCTGTGGTGTGGACTTCGCAATTCTCTTAGAGTCAGAGCGATTAATGCAACTTCATGGTCATAGTTATTGTTCTTAGTGCGAACGGCCCTTTATTCTTCTAGATCTGGTGAGGTGTGGCTTACGGTCACGACACACTCTTGACTCCCTCTTTGAGTCCTCAGGTTAGAGTAGAGCCGATCGTCCAGTGTGGACGCCAGTTTGTCTGACGGACTGATGTCAGTGAGAGTGTGATGCGTGTAGTCCGAATCCTGATCCGGAACAGTGGGATCCGGCATGACTGTGTGTGTATGTGAATGCAAATGAGAACTAAATGTAGTCATTGGTCCACCACGGTCCATCTGTGAATGTTTTTGTGAATCTGCGAGATGAGCATTTGTTCCCAAGACCTTCAGTCTCCCAGAATGCCTGGCACTGCTGTCCTGCATTTGGGATGAAAAGAAATGTCGGCTTGTGTTGTTGCTGCTGTTGTTTGCGTTTTCCTCCAGGTCTGGACCAGAACTGCCTGTTTCTGAGGGCGGACCAGCACCCTCCAGCTCTGGACCAGATTTTTCTGGCTCGGGCGATTCCGTACTCGCTGCTCCCTCGCTGGCCTCCTCGTCCGCGGCGCTAGCGATGCGAGGCAAGGTACTGTGGTAGCGTGTGTCTAAGGGGTAGTTGGCGCTGTCGCCTCGGCGTAGCGGGTAGCAGCGCTGTCGCTCTAGAGATGGTGAGTATCGAGCGGCACCGGGGTCGCTGTACTGCTTGCTGCGCTGCCACTGCTTCCTTAGATGGATTCGGGAGCGGTGCCGGTGACGCAAGGAGGGCGAGCCCTGTTGGTCAAACTGGGGGTCATGGCGTAGGAATTCATTAAACAGTGCCTCCGTCTTCTCATCGATGCTGTAGTCTCTGCGGCGGAAGTGTGGCCTGGGTTTGGTCACGGGTTCTTGGTGGGAAACCGAAGCAGGAGTGTCTGCCTCCAAACTTACGCTGCTCTCCGATGCCTCGTCTTCCAGCTCCTCCTTGAACAACCGTGCCTCAAAACTCTCACAAACTGTGCCTTTGCGTCCAGAATTGGTGAAAAAGCAGCGACGTTCTGATGCGGTCTTTCCAGAGCTACTCCCGAACAATCTGAATTCCTCCGGAGCCTTGCAAGGAGCCTCGATTGAGGCGTATCCACTGTCCATTTGCAGAAGCTTCCGGTTGTTTGTCTCTCCGTCGCTGCCTCTCTCAGAGTCTACGCTGTCCAGTCCATTTCTCCTCTGCCCGGCTTCCCTGACCACGTCATCATATGGAAGCTCACTGTCCCCGTCTAGATCATCATCGATGTCTTGCGACTGGTAGCTGGGAACGCCCACTCTCGATGCTCCCGCTGAGCAAACGCTGTCGGCATCGCTGCGAGTGGAGTCCCTGTCGTTGCTGCTCAGGTCGGAGGATGCGTACTGCTCCAGCGACGCTCTCAGGCTCCAGATGTCACGGTACAGGCTGGGCTGCTCTAGGCTCTCCTGACGACTCACTGGTCCAAACTCTTCAGTGTCGCCTCCTGATGCTCCTGCCATCATCCCCTGTCCATCCTCTTCACCATCCTCAACTTGCAGAGGTCCTTGGGATGAGGGCAATGTTGGAGTCGTGTCTTTCACTGCATATGTGTTGACTCTGAGCTCCATTACGGCTTCTACCTCTAACCTAAAGGTAAACAAGGCTGTTATGTTACAGTAAAATGTTCTATATTACAAGTAGAGGTGGTGGGACAATTATGTTTCATTCTGAAAAAATTCTAGATCAGGGGTGCTCAATCCTGTTCCTGAAGATCTACCTGCCTGCAGAGTACAATCTGTTATAGATTGTACCTGAAAAAATAATAATATGAATTCTACAGAATCTTTTAAAGAATTAAGCAATGAGCAATGATTTTAATTTGCCCAAGACTTGTGTCCATGCAGTTGCTAAAAAAAATTGAGATGCATCGAGGCTTGTTTTGGAAGTGGACTGCGAATCTTGAAATTGAACGGTAAGGTGCATAAAGATCCTCTAATTCACGGATGTTCAATCCTGCTCCTGGAGGGCCACTGTCCTGCATAGGTTAGCTTCAACCTTAATTAAACACACCTGAAGCATTTAATCAACATTTTTCAGGAGTACAATAAATTTTCAGGAAAGTGTGTATGGGCAGGTTGGAGCTAAACTACAGCTGTGCTTCTCAAACCTCTCCTGGGGACCCACCACTACTGCACACTTTGGTTATCTCCTTCATCGGTCACACCTGATTCAACTCACCCAGCTCATTAGTAGAGACTGGAAGACTTCAATTGGGTGAGACAGATTAAGGCGATATCCAAAATGTGCATTAGTGGGGGGTCCTTAGGACATGTTTGAGAGCACTGCTCTATAGGTCTGGAGTGTCCACTCATGCTCCTGGAGGTCCACTATCCTTCAGAGTTTGTCTCCAGTCCTAATTAAAACACACCTTAACCAGCTATTCAAGGTCTTCAAGATCAGTGCTGTGTTTGGTCAGGTTTGAGCTAAACTCTAGGTCAGGGGTGCCCAATCCTGTTCCTACCTGCAGCATTTAGTTCCAACACACCTGTCTGTAATGAAAATCTCAGTCATTCAGCTGGTTCATTTGTGTTTGGTCAAGGTTGAAGTTAAACTTTGCAGGAAGGTAGCTCTCCAGGCAAAAGATTTGGCACCCCTGCTATTGGACATTTGCCCTCCAAGAGCAGGATAGGACACCCCTAATTCAAGGGTGTCTAATCCTACTCCTGGAGGTCCACAACCCTGCAGAGTTTGGCTCAAATACTAATTAAACACACCTGAACCAGCTAATCAAGGATCACTAGAAACTTTTGGGCAGGTGGGAACAAAACTTTATAGCAGTAGTTCACCCAAAACTGCACATATTGCATGTCTCCTTTTTTCTGACACCCCCATTGGACACCCCTGCTGTAATGTATAGGATATTTTGACAGGAGCTCCTGAGGTGACGTGGCTGTACCTGCTGAGGGCAGGAGGAGCTCCTGCGGTGGCATCCAAAGAACCGGCCGAGAGGCATCTTGGCGGCTCCTTCTGTGGCTGTGCGGTGGGTTTTCGCAACAAGAAGTCACTGACTCCACCGTGCAAGGTTTCTTCTCCCTGATCCAGAGTCTCGCTGGCCGCCCGCTGCCTCTGAAACGCACGTCTCCGCGGAGAACCTAAGGGAATACAAGAAAAACATGGGAATGTCCAGGAAGTGAAACCTTAGAAGTGACTGATTTGAGATGCTCTACATAGGCAGCATTGTGACAGTGTTAATTTATGTATTGTTATAGTATTTATTACAATTTTGGCTTTTATTTTATTTGTTTTCACTGAGCTCCTCACAGTGTGTTGTTCACGTCAGCAGCTCAGCAGGTTTTGGAACGGAGCTACAGAGAAGCTTGGAAAGGAGACGCCACGGCTCCCTCATCCTCTATAATGAGAGCATATAATGCGATCTGAAGCTCATTAGAAGGAAATGAGCATGCCGTACTGACTGACCCTTCACATCAGGTGAAGAATAATGCGTTTATCTTATAATTCACTTATCAGGAAGCAGCTTTTGTCCTGCGCTCCTGCTTGAAATATCTTGAACCAATCAGATCTCACTCCAGTCACATGACTGTAACTAGACTGAGCTACTCTAGCCGTATTGATCCGGTATTGATTCCTCTTCTCCAGGCTCATTCAAGGCTGAAAAAGACCTCCGTGTGTAAAACATTAAGGAGACTGCAGGATGTCTGGCTTTGGATTGTTTTACAGAATGTGATTCCTGAATAATACTGCAGCTCATATCATGAAGAATCATTACTGTTCATTGAACTATGAAGCATCTTTCAGAAGACAAAACATCCTCTCCAGTCCAACAAGAGCGTTTAATCAAACTGAACTGCAGAAACGACTTGATCTGAACTTCACATGTGGAGAGTTCATGGATTAAATCATGAATGGAAGTTCTTGTGTGTTTGAGGTCATCCTCACCTCTCGTGTCGAGACTCGCCGCTCTCTGGATGGTGTCCTGTCTCCATTTCTTGACGCTGAAGAACGGACCTGCTCCCTCCAGACTGGCGTGGCGTCTGAGCTTAGACAGGAAGTGGAACATGGTGCCCTGAGTCGGACAGGAAGTGGAATCTCTGTCAATCAGCAGGCTTCTGTTCATCACCTCAATCTGGAGAGGAAGAGATCATGAAAGTGTCCAGCAGGTCACAGGTAATGCCAAACATATATAAAGCACCAAACTCTGCAATACGATGATGAAGTCATTCTGTCCAGATGCAGTGCATAACTTAAATTCAATTCAACAAACAAACACTGATATGCACACAACTGTACTGTACAATTTACAGTCATGCAAATAATTTATTGCCAGTGTCACAATGCAAAACATCCTAATGGCTTTTAATTTGTTCATGAAAAATTTAAATAAAGCTTATAAAAATATAAAATATCTAAAACATTTGATGAAATAAGATTAAGTTGAAGCACTAAAATAGTCAAAAAAGAAATAAAACTAAAATTATATAAAAAATAAATTAAACCTAAAGACTAATATTTAAAAAAAAAACTAAAATGGAAAATGAAAACTGAAAATATAAAAATAAAATTTAAAACAAAATATTATTAATAGTATAAAAATAATACTAAAAATTATCAAAAATGACTTTCCCCCGGTTTCACAGAAAAGGCTTAAACCTAGTCCCAGACTAAAGTGTAAGTCTGAGCTGTTTTAACTGAAATAAACTTGCGCTGATTGATCTTAAAATATATCAGTGCCTTTGTTTTGTCTCAAGATGCACACCAGTAATGTTTTTGCTAAGGCATGTTAATAAAAATTGCTTAAATGTCCTAATTGAACTATGGCCTAATCCTGGTTTACCTAAGCCCTGTCTGTGAAACCGGGCCTATGTGTGGGACTTTTGATTTATTCTGCCGTGTTCTCTCCTGTGTTTATTAACTAATGTGTATTTCATTGATGCTCGGCGTGACTCACGGTGTGTGATCGGGTTGGTTTGGCGGTGTGTTCGGGGCTGGTGTTCAGTGTGTTTCCAGGCAGAGCACTGCTGGGGCTTTGAGCGCTCCACAATCCTGCAGCCTCCGGCGCAGGACCCTCCACGGGCTGAAAACACACACAACATAGTGAGCTCACTACACAGGGTGCATTTTAAGGCATCATACACTCCAGATATAATGATGCTGCTTTCTAGGCTCCTTCGTATGCATGATTTCAAACATACTTTATGGAGAACTGAATCCCAAAATGCATTGTGACAAATCACTGAAAAATCTGTGGAATATCAAACGTTCAGCCTAATTGAAAATACACTATTTTACTCAATAATTATGCTCATTAAGAGTATGACAGCGTTAACTTAGCAGGTTCCTCCTTCAGTCCAGCACAGGGTTATTAATAACTAAAACCATAAAAAAAAGAGTTTGTTACTTGAAATAAAATAATCGACACCAAATTAATTTTTTTTTTATTTATACTAGCTGCCAATGCAACATTTCTCATTGTTGTTGAAGCACTAAAATAACTACAACTAAATAAATAAAATTAATAAAAACTATACTGTATAGACGCATACAAAACATAATTACTAAAACTTTAACTTAAATGTGAAAACATAAAATATCAAAATAATATTTTGAGCACTGAGCAAATAAACAAATAAAATAAAACATTTGAATTCTTCATTCTGATTGGCTGACAGATGTTCTAACAGGCTGATTAATTATTATAATTATTTATAATGTTATTATTTTTATTATAAATAGAAAGCAGTTTCAGAAGCTGTGAGTCAGACACACTGACAGCGTTTGTGTTGCGTAACTGAACTGCAGCTCTATGCAGAAAATGAATCAGGAGTGAGTCAGTGAGAGTTATGATGAACTGCATCTAATTTACATGAGAAAGCGAGTCGCATTTACACCCAAATGATAATTCATCTACATGGAGCCCAAAAGTGCTGCAGTAATCTGCTGAAACTCTCTCTGTTCAGTCACTTTTCCTGAACAGAAAGTCTTTGTGTGTCTGCGGATCATCAAGCCCAGTAAGAGTTAGTTTAGTTGTTCGTATAATGCGAGTAGTTCACTCTTAATATTTTACATTGCTTCACAAAAAGCCTGTATTGCAAGATGTGTGGATAGATGGGTCACTAGTGCATTTTTTATGTTTTCTGCAGTGCATACGACAGAAATAGACATGCTGGAGGTGATGTTTGAGAGATATTAAAGCAGTGTGTCACCTGGAATATGGAGAGGGATGGGTGTTGTGAGGGCTGTTCGCTGAGCGTCACGCTGTTCTCCGGTGAATCACACTCCATGATGGTGAGGATCTTCAGCGCCGGCGGCTGCATGTGCGTCAGACGGGCTTTCTTCAGGTGATGGAAGTCGCCCTCCGTCAGCGTGTACCTGAGAGACCGTTACAGCCCGTCAGGATCCAGATCAAGTCTAAGTCTTTTCAGTATTCAGTGGTTATTTCATTTCCTTCCTGTTCTTGTGAGCTAAAACATGAACTTGGTTCTCTGACAGACAGCTGGAAGTGGACAGTGACAAAACCAACTAGTTTAACTCTATTAATCTTTTTTTTTTTTTTAATTAAACCAATTCAACTAACATTTAAATCTTGTAATCGAAAAAACGACCAAACGTCGTTTGAATTTGTTAATCGAACAAAACCAACCAACATTTAAATATATTGATCAAACAAAACTGACTGACATTTAAATCTCTTAATCGAACAAAACCGAACGCCACTGAAATCTCTTAAACAAAACAGACCAATGTTTAAGTCTCGTAATCGAACAAAACCGACTAACCAATGTTTAAATCTGTTAATTAAACAAAATAAATGAATTAAATCTCTAATAGAACAAAATTGACCGATGTTTTATTCTGTTAATCGAACAAAACCGGATTACACTGAAATCTCTTAAACAAAACGGACCAAAATTCAAGTCTCGTAATCGAACAAAACCAAACAATGTTTAAATGTTAATCAAACAAAACCAAACTAAAACATGAACATGATTCTCAACAGGTTGTCGTTCTCGGGTCGCTGCCGCTCTCGATCCTTGACCCCTTCATATGTGTGTGTCTGACCTTCGACCTGTCTCCTGGTCTTTGGCGCTCTGCTCATAGATGGCGGCCTCGTTGAAAGAGACCCGTCTTCCGGTGACCGACGCAGACAGTAAGTGATCCGCATCCGTATCGCCATGACAGCTGGAAGAAGACAGCGACTCGCCGCTCTCGAGTCTGATAGTGACATCTGAAGAAAACAGAGAGACATCAGTGATGCACATTTGTTTCTCTTTATAAGCCGTGCACTATATTTCTCAACGATAGAACAGTTAGCATGCTTTCCTCGAACTTTAGCCATGGCGTTCGAACTGGTATACTGTTGTAGCTTGCGAAAACAAGAATGGTGGCGCCGTGAGTGGAAAGTGCAGATAAAGTGGCAGTGATATTATAATAGGATCCTTTTGCAACGTCACCAAGAGAGCGAAATCTGACGTGTTAATTTTTTTCAGAAAAAGGCTTACCAAAACAAAGTTACTGGGTTAATCTTTTTCACGTTTCCTGGGCTGGTAGATGCACCGGAGACCCGGTTATAGCACGTAAAACTGGAAAAAGTCCGATTTTCATGATATTTCACCTTTAAAAATGTTAATTGAACAAAACCGACTGATGTTCAAAAATCTCTTAATCGAA